TAATAAATTATATTTGTATATAATTTATTTACAATCTTAAATTTTAAAGTAATAAATTATAAAAAATAATTTGTAAGAGTTCTTATAAAATGGTTTATGATATAAAAAACATGTAAACACTTGTGCCTGGATAACAGGTCGCCGCCCTTCAGCAAAACCCTAGAACTCGCAGATCAACTGAAACCTTCATCAATGGCGGACGAGACGGCGTCGATGAGCATATACAGAGCTTCGAGAATAATTAAGAGAAGACAGAGCTCTTTGTACAATTCTCTACTATCAATTCACGAGGACTCGATCTTCGTATCGGAGATAGCTCAGTTATGGCCTGAGTTGCCCCTTGTAGCCAACCTGCGTTGCGGGCTCTGGTACGCTAAGAAATTTCATTCGAATTGTTACTTCAAGTCGACGGATGGCCATACGAATAACTTGTCGTTCAATACCTCTCGGCTTAATCTCCATCTAGCCATTCTCGCAGGTTATTCTCTCTGAACTCCTTGACGTTTTTGATCGACGTTTCTACTTTTCAAATTTGAATTCGACATTTCTACCTTTTTGATCGATGTTTCTGCTTTTTAAAATTTAAATTCGACGTTTCTACTTTCTACGTTTTTGATCGATATTTGTTGAAGTTATCTTATGGTATATCATGTTCAACAGTGTCTGGAGATTATGACTTACAGAATTTTAATTCACACATATGTGTATATGCGTCCAGATTGCTTGTTTATGCTGGATAATGATATTTAGAGTTCTGTTGCATTTGTTATGGATAGGACAGAGGGGAGGGTGTATGATCGTTGATTCTACTCGGAAAGGGAAGAGGTTTCCAGACAGTATGTCAAAAACCATACCGATTTGGACTTGCGTATTGAATCGTGCAATTTTGAATTATAGAAACAAAATGGATGGAATCAATAAGCCTATGGAGGAGGGAGTAAGTAGATGTTTTCATCATCTCTACCATTATTATCAGATATGCTGCATATTTTCTTCAGATATGATGTTATAGAATTGGAAAAAAGTTGTTTAGATCATATAAGGTGATTGTTCTTACATGCTTTAACCAGTCTAAAATGCACAAGAAGATTTTTAGGTGGCGTTAGGTTTATAGGATGAAATATGTCAGAACTGGAATCCAAAGCAACTGAATAGAATTTAATCAGTTTTGACCATGTGTTTGGTGGTTTGTCAAAAAAATTTGGAATATGTTTGTTTGGCTCGCTAAATATAATTTCAGAATTATAATAAGATAGTGATAAATTACCAAAACACCCCGTTACGATATTTTCATATTTTATTGATTAGTTTATAAATACTATATAATGATAAAATTAATAATGATATTAGTTGGTGTTGATGGTGGCAACGTTGCCAGAGACGATGATTGTGGTGGTGGCAGTGGTGTGGTGATGGCAGACAGGGTGGCGGTGGCGGTGGTGGTGGCAGCAATGGTGGTGGTGGTGGCAGCAATAATGGTGGTGGTGGTGGTGGTGACGATTATGCGATGGAATATATTAGATTAAGTATAATGACATTTGGATGAAGTTGAATTGGAATTCCTTACTAAGACGTAAGGAATTTAAATTCCATCATATGTGGATTGGAATTCCATATTAAAAGTAATAAAATTCCCCGAATGCATGAATGAAATTTGGTCAATATTCCAATTCTTTCAGATTCCATTGAATTCCAATGAGCCAATCACGACCTTAGATTTAATTTTAAACATTAATTAGAGATGTATCTATACATGTCTCCATAAATTTGTTCCTTTTCAGCGATTTATATCTTGTACGAGTTAATTTGTCTTCTTCCAAACATATATCTATATCACTTTGCTGTTGGCATGTTTGTAGGTGAATTCTTCTGCTCAAAATTCTGATACTACTGTACACGAGTCGCCTAAATGGGACTCATCTTTGCATCTTCCCCTTTGGGTGCCTGATACAGAGAGAGTGAGGATAGAGTGTAACTTAGATGGATGGATCAAGCAACTAGAAACAAGTGGAGCCGATATTGCTTCCATCTCATCTTTACTGAAAAAACCTCTACGGCCTCTTTGGATTTCACAAAAAACCGTCATATGGTTAAATGAAGTTCCTGATTATGATTCTTGGGATTTCACACCCATAATCCTTATTTCTGCATCTGCTGCAAGAGATGTATATCGACAAAAAAGGAGCTCTGAATTTAGTTGGAATTACATAGCAGGAGCCGGAGACGATGAAGAGAGTTGGGCAAGAGGTTTAACGCCTACCTTATTTTGGAATAATGTCTATGATTTAATTAATTCAGGACCTGATGTGTGTAACCAAAAGGTAGCGGCAATTGTTGAAAGGGATAGGGTATATCGTGCACAAAGGGGACAGAATGCTCCTCAGGTATCGGTTAAACCTACAAAGTTGGCGAGCACCAATTCAACTCATATCCAAGACCAACCATTAGACGTAATTATGGAGGATGGAACTGGTGGACACTCATTAGGTGATGAGCATCCGATATACTGGTTGGGTTCGACAAATCTTGCAGTCTGTGCGACTGGATATGGTAAGCTGTTTTGTATACATCAGAGTTAATAATAGTTTGCATGATATGAAGGATCGTGTGAAAATAAGAGTTAGAGGTGAGAAGTGTAAGAAGGGATTTGGACCCTTGATCACTTTTAATCTCAAAAGAACTCATGGATTGCGCTTTAGAAGGGAATTATCCATCCGCTATATCTCATTACACTTGATCTAATGTTTCTTTTCAATTAGGATTGATCAGGGGTTGGAGATCCCTTTTTACCCTTCTCACCATAACTTTCATTCTCACCAGAACCCAACCCTTGCATGATAATCCTACCAAAACTATTAATTGAAAATCAGGGAAGACCTTTTATTGGATAGCATTTACTTATTTCTTGGATAGAGGCAGGTTCATCTAGGAACCTTAAATATTTTAGGAACCTAGTAACCACCTATTTTGTGAGTATTCATAGTGAGTATTATTCATCACGAATATCTATCACAACGTTCATTATGAAATTTTTTATCACAATATTCATCATGAAATAAATAGACGGACCTAGAGGGGTGGTTAGGTGGCACGTGCCACCGTATTGTTCCTCCGTGGTAAGGTAAAAAAAATCAGGTTCGGAAAAGGTGCAACCGTTTTATTCTAGAAGGTGCAACCATTTTATATGGTGCCACCTTATCCAAAAATTCTTGGGTCCGTCCCCAGAATGCTCACAAAAAGGGTAGTCACTGGGTTCCTAAAATATTGGAGGTTCCTAAATGAACCTCCCTCTTTTTGGATAATATCTTTACTTATTTCTTGGATAATCTTAACTAAAAAAGACTGTAATTCTTCCCACTTGGCCATTAAAATCATCTCGTCTTGTTCAGATTTCAAGGCATCCAATGTTGATGGCATATTAAACTGCGATCAAAATCAGATTCTTTGTAGTCTTGAGGACTCAGAAGCTCATTTGCACCTGCCTATCATGGTGACTATTTATTTATTTTTAATGCTGTTTTCTTGTAATCTCGTGTTCTTTATTGATCTGCCCAGCTGATTTCATGATCTCTTTTACCTTTATAGAACTCGAAGTTTGATCGGTTTTCTCTGCAAAGAAATCTACCTTCTGCGCTGACTTTCGCCAAGCTGCACCTGAAAGGGGGAAAGAAGCTTTCAGTTTGCTGCAACAGTGGTAAGCATTAATTCATGCGTTCTTTAGGGATCTTTTTCTTAAATCTCGTTTCTTATTGGCTTTTAAAGCTAGTTAGTAGAATTCTAATTAATTTTGGCTTTTGAACTGGATTTTTGAACACTTCTGTGTTCTAAATTCTAATGGAGGAATTGGGCATAGTTTTTCCAGCACCAGAGTAATGTTATCATTTCTTTGATTTCAGGGGAAGACATCAGTGTTTGTGTTTGCTTGGCAATATTGATTTCATTATTCAATGTTGAAGGTATGTAGACTTGATGCCAATCTCTTATATATATATATATATGCATTGTTGCTTTGTTGGGATTTCGGAAGTCATACATGCAGTGAAATAATAAATTACCCGAGATTCCGAACCAAAGATCTATGTGAAATACATTAAATAAACCAATAAAATCGAAATAATTTCTTCTCGAATAAAGCTTCGAACTTTCTGATGTCACAACTTCAAAGTTCACAACTTTGATGTTGAATCTTTAGGATAAAATGTTCTGACCCTTTAATGGTATCGACATGAACATGGGATCACACTCAAATTGTAGGAATTCCAAGATTCTGTTAAGGTGTTAGCCATTGTTAATGGAGAAATCAACTAACGGTTTCAAAGGGTGTGTGATAAAATTAGCACAAACCCTAACCACTTAGGGTTTGCCCTTAGGAGTAGAGAAAGCCCTAATTGTAACTACTCTTTTGGGCTTATGGTAATTTTATCTCCTGTTTCGAAACTCTTTCGTCCTTTGAACAATTATTTGATTAACTAAGTGATTACTAAGCCCAATTAACCAACACTTTGGTTAATTAATTCCTTATCCGGAAGTGTATAAAGTGTGACCATTAGGGTTCACAAAATTAGTTTATTATTGCAAGTAAGCCGTGTTAAGCAATAGATCCTTACTATCCAAGTGACGAGAACTAATTGATCTAACAAATCATTGATTTGTGTGGTCATTTTAACGCATGAATCGTGTCCCTTCATCCTAGGTGCCTAGATTGAAGACAATACATGGTTTATTTTTGTCATTAAGTTCAATCTCTAGTTTCTTGATTTGTTAGCAAAAAACCTCAACATTGTGGATGCTTAAACATTTTGAGCCATCTAAAGCAGAATTTGCACGCTATGGACCAGGAAGCCTTTACATAAGTAATGTAGGACACTGTTCTTTTCAGTTCTAAAGTGTAAAAACTTCCTAGGTTGTTCATCAACCTCATATTATTGTCCTTTTTTCTTCGTTTTTCTGTTTTGTTGTTTGAATTTAGCGCTTAGTTGATGTGAATTACTTGTCCTTTCACAACTCTTCATGTTTTATTAAGGGTGGTTTACCAAGCGCTTATCAGGTGTTGCTTACCTTACCGTGTGAGCATCTCAACACTTGTAATCTTACCCGGTAAGTTCTCACCGGGTAGAAGACACTTACCAATGATCCATTTTGATGGCCGAGAATGTCATCACGCAAGTGAGAGTGGTGACTTTTTCCGGTAAGCGTTTGGTAAAATACCCCTAAATGATTAAAACCCTAAAATCTCCATAATTTCCACCAGTACCCTTAAAGTGCTAGATTGATGCCTACTGAAGTTCATAATCTGGATTGTCTTCTAAGGTTACAATTGTCAACAGGGGTTTATGATGACGGGAAATCCTTCAAGGAGACACAAATAACGAAGCTAGATATGCGACAACGGCTCATATTCATATGCAAATTCGCCGTAAATGCCCGACCATCAAGAGGTAATATGAAGCAAGTCTTCAATTTTCTTGCAGGTGCAAGTACCTGACCATCTTGCTGAAACCAAGTCAGCGATCTTTACAGAATCAGTCGTTTTACTTTTGTGGTTGAGGCCAAGTCTGCACACATCTTACCCTCCACGGACCCCACCTCAGATAGAATATACCGGGTTCGTTTGGTTTTGTGTGTCATACATAAACATATTGTCCGTGTAGCTTTAGCTTAGCAAGTAAGGAGGTGACTATCTTTAGTGTGAGCCACCATCCACCTACCCATGAGACGTGATTTACCTACCCTATAATGACTGAGACCATCATCATAAACCCTTTTTTGTAGAATGCATACAAATGTTTCCCCTGATACTTTAGCCTAGCGAGTAACGAGGTGGGTATCCGTGTAGAATTAGTACAAACCCACCCACATGATGGCTGTCGGACCAGTAGCACGAGGGTGACGTTATGACCTCTTCTTTGTAGGATGTTGGTGTAAATCTTATAGTTGATATTACCATTCATACTATATAACATTTATTGCAACATTTTTCATGGGGTCCTTTCTTCTAGTGAAGATATTTAGTGTGACCATGTTCATGAAATAAGGGTGTGAATGAGCCTAGTCGAGTATTAGGGGTTACTAGAGTTTAGTCCGACTAAATGATACTCGGCTTGAGCTTAATGCTCATTTATGTGCTCGAACTCATGATCGATTAACTTGTTTATTGGCTAGAGCTCGATTATTTTAGAGATTGAATAACATGTGATCAATTAACTTGTTTAGTGGTCCAAAAAGTGTATTATTGAATGGTCATCTCAAGTCGAAAAATTTGATAAGAGTTTTCGAATGAGCCGAGTCAAACATTAGTGTTATGAGCTGTTCTAGTTGAGTTCAACAAATTGTATTGTTTTCAAGATCGACTGGAGCCTAAGAGTTATTAAGCTTGTGCTCAAATTAAGAACTTCCATTCACAAAGTTAAAAGTTGGAGGAATAAAAAGTACCAGGACGTCTCAGGTTCAAATCCAAGGAGGAATAAAGATCTCCTTGTGGCCACGGAGGTTCAAATGCGGTGACTCCAGGCTATTTGCAAAGCAAGTGGTCGTCCTGGGATTAGTCGGCTCATATAGCGGGTTGAATATCCTAGTTAATAAAAAAAAAGTTAAAAGTTGGTGAAAGCTAATGTATTGTAAGAGCATCTCCAACAGTTTCTCTAGAATGGAGGAACTGATAATTTTGAGCAATTTTTTGCTCCAAGAGATCGCTTGAAACTTTCCACAAAATAGAGAAAAATATTTAAATTTAGAGAAATCTCAAAAATGATTATGATGAGAGAGAATCATTTTTATTTATTTATATTCCATCAATTAAAAAAATCTTGAAATTAAATGTTTAGATGAGTGAAATAATATTTTATAAAAATGTATGAAATATTTTAACAATATAATAAATGTTGTAATTTTTGCAATTTTTTGCTCCAAGAGATCGCGTAAAACTTTCCCCAAAATAGAGAAAAATCTTTAAATTTGGAGAAATCTAAAAATTATTATGATGAGAGAGAATCATTTTTTATTTATATTCCATCAATTAAAAAAATCTTTTGAAATTAAATGTTTAGATGAGTGAAATAATATTTTATAAAAATGTATAAAATATTTTAATAATATAATAAATGTTGTAATCTTCGAAACAAAGAAGCTGGTTGGAGTTGAATGCATCATTTTTTTGGAGCTTTTGACTTATGATTCTCCATTTTAGAGAAATTTTGGAGAATCCGTTGGAGATGCTCTAAAAAGCTATGAGCATCTTCATCGGTTTCTCCATAATTTATCATTAAAAATTAAAACCTTAAAAAAATATTAGTTGATTATAATTAGAATATCTAAACGTTTAACTTCATGGATTTATATCAATAGGAATAATAAGTTATCGTTTCTCTCTCCTAAGAGCATCTCAGCTGTGTTTTTTAACTGTTGTACAGAGTCGAATAAGAAAAATCTCACTTTAAATTCGTTTCGTCATAAGCTTTATAAATTAATTTTCATCATCCAACTTTACATTTGAGAAGTTCTCTACAAAGAATACATTATTTTATTGAGTGAAGTTCAATTTTGGTCCCTAACATTTGCAATTTTTGTTGGATATCGTCTGTGATATTTGTAAATTCCCAACGGTTTTGTTCTTTCTGTTTAACAGTAGTTAACTATATTCATTAGATCCAATCAAATGAGTGAGATTTTAATCATTTCACTATTTTCATTATATTAAAATTAAAAAAATATAAACCATAAGGGTGGTGTCTGATTGGTTTGAGCTTGGCCCCAAAGGTCAAAAGTACCAAGAGGTCCCATTTTCAAATCCAAGGAGAAATAAAAATCCTTTTGTGGCAACGGAGGTTCAATGCAATGACTTCGGGCTATCTGCAAAACAGGTGGTCGTCCTGGGATTGGTCGGCCCGCATAACGGGTTGGATATCCAAGTTAATAAAAAAAATATATTGTATTTTTAATTTTAAATTGTAAAACAAAAAAGTGAAAAAAATAGGAAAAACAAAACCCTTTTTCTTTTATTTTTCTGTTTTATAATTTAAAATTAAAAATATAATATGTTTTTTTAATTTTAATATAAAATTATAAAAATAGTTTAAAAAATGACTAAAAAATACGTTTAATTTAACTGGAATTAACAAAAAAAAGCGAATAACCGTTAGATAGAAGGAACAGAACCTTTGGGAATTGACAAACGAAAGTAAACTTTACACTTATTTTGTTGTATACATATGTACATCATGTCATGTTCTTATTTTGTTTTATTCAAAAAGTAAAAAAAAAAAAAAAAACAGTTATTAAAAATACTGTGTTAATGTATGGAGCATTATTGAGGTAAGAACGTATTATTGTGTATCTGATACCGCTTTTTATAAACTACATTAGCTTAAATGTACAAAGTATGATCAGAAATGCTCTAACCAATCATTTTCGGGAGTTCACTAAATATGATTTATTTTATCATCTCTTTCATAATTTCTCCGTTTCGGGAAATTTGTGGTAACAGAGAACCAGTCAAAAACTCTTAAAATCTCTACTTTGAAAAAGCTGTTACAGTAAGAACGATAGGTTCATATCTCGTCTTTTTGTTGTAAGTTCTTTTTCTTAAGAAATCAACTTTATTTGAAAAGCTTTTCTCGGGCCTATTTTCATTAAATAAATAGAGTTCGAACTTTTTTGGGCACCTCTGGGGTTAAAAGAGGTCCCGATCAAACTTTTTAAACCGTGCCTTGAATTTTTTTTGACTTGATTGGGATGTAGGACCGGGTTTGGGCCCAGACCGCATTTTGGGCTTGAGGTTTTTCGTGCTTCTCTATTGTCCGGTTGCCACCCACTTAAGCGGACCACTATGTACTATGTACCTCAATACCTCATTTGCCTCTTACATAATGATTGTGGAACATGATGGCTTGTCCAGATCGAGGGTTCCAGTTACAGACCCCCTTGCACAATATAAGTCTGTCTTTAAGGCTTGAACCTTTACCGTGGATTTGTATTCGTAATGTCACATGTTTTTTTGTTAAAGCACGATTCTTTTGGAAGTATTATGATGAAAACTGAAGCCAACGGCTTTTAAAAACTAGATTCTTTTCTTAGTCTTAGACCACTATTTTATGCATAAAAACATGTGTCATGCACCGTTAGTTGATACCAGAGTCAATCTTGTCACGTAATTTCAACGAATAGAACACGATGCGGTGACGTAAGTTGATTTAATCCTAAAAGAATATGCAAGTGTCAATCGACGGTATTCTCTCTCTCTAGAACTCATCGGTTAAACGATCATATCTGAGTCGTGATATATAACTCTTAATGCATAAGGTACAAGTTACTACGACATTATTAAAGTTGGTATATAATAAACTATGAAAAACTAAACCTTTTAAAATGGTGTGTGATGTGATGGCAAAGAATCCCCACCTCCACACTTGAGCTTTGAAAACATGAAACAAATCTTGTTGTCTTTTAAAAAGTGATTGGTTTATGTGAAAGTATTAAAGTAGATTTGTTCATATCAATCACTTTTAGGTTGTCACCACAACAAAGCTTATGTATAATGTACAACCCAATAATGCATGATGTACAACCTAATTAAGGTGATGTCATTGGTGTTTTCGGGGGCTGTTTGACAGTTGCTGAATGGTTCGGTGGAGAATGATTAAGAGGCTCTCATGGTATAGTGTGAAAAATGAAATGTAATTGTTTGGTAATTGTTTATGATGAAATTAGGGTGCTTAATGGTTAAAAGAGGCCCAAGATACAAAACCATTCAGAGGGTTTTAGAACCATTAAGAGGCATAGCCAAATAAGATTCACCTCTTAATGATTCAGAGACTGCATCTTAATGGAACTATTAAGAGGTAAACAAACAACCCCTAAGGGTAAGAAAAATGAAGTATCAGGTTACACAAATCGTGCATTAGGCTGTGGCGTGCGACTAGTTTAATGTGGCGTCAAGACACAAGTCTTGAGTCACGACGTACGACGTCAACAGCCGTGGAGAGCCTTTTTAGAACACTGCCTAATAATTCATGATGTGAGTTGTTAAGAGGGCTTTTTAGTAAATTAAGATGGTTTTCGATACCAAGATCAAGTCGTAGACAGATGGACCTTTAGTTCGTGATCCGAACTGTTTACTTCTCGTAAGTTTATTAACTTAGGAAAAGGCATACAGGTAAATTTATACCGAGGGTGTTCATGGTTTGATTCAGGAATTCAACTTGAGCTCATTCTATTCAAAATCAAGTACCAAAAAAAGTAAGAGGAAGAACCAAAGTACATCAGTCTCCAAGTGTTTTGTGTGTCAGGAAACAGTAGGGTCGATTAAACCACTAATTTAAATAATGCAATACTGAACCAGACTATTAAACCGAAATTAATCTGTAAATAATTAGAAACTATAAATTTGATCTTTTTATAGTATATAAATCTGGTGAAAACACTGAAGGGTCTTTGGCTTAGCACTGTTCAAGTTTTTGACCACTCGGAAGGTCAGAGCTTCAAAATTCATAAAAAATAAGAAGGGTACGTGAGTTTATTTGTTACATTTCTTGTACATAATAATATATACTTCAAAAAAATCTGATGAAAATTATGAAGGGAAACATCAGTATATTTGATAAGGATGAGTTTTCAAACCAAGACAATCATGATCTCTGTACTTAACTCAAAAGTTTTATTTTAAAAAAAAATAAAATTTTAATTTAATATTTCAAAATTAATTTGGAAACGCAAATAAAAAGGAGAATGTTTTAAAACATCTCTAAAATGTTAAAAACGTTTGGTTTCATTTCCGCAAATGTAGGTCTCATTGGTCGCTTTTCACTTAACATTGCAGTACCACATTGTAGATCAGAAATTGATGTGATTGCGACAGTTTTGGTATCTAGGTGTGTCATTTAGCGAAAAGATTTGGTATATAGGTACCTCAACGACGAAAAAATGTGATTACTGAGAATTTAAAAACTGAACGTGAAAGATATGGTAGATTTGTACAATGGGTTGTTGTATGTGCATTAAAATTGAACGAAAAAGATTAAGATAACTTTCCTATTTTAGAACTAAACTGATATTTTCGGCAATTTCTCCTTTTAACAGAAAGGGGACCATTATTTGTTGATCATAGTAATCATCTGTACTCCAAAGTGTTTGTCTAACTGTACCATCTTTTGCATAATACAGTGAAAGTTGAGTGAGTATGAAGAAAAGACCCTTCACTATCAACTCTAGATTGCCTCAAGTTTATCTGATAATTTTACTCGATGACCCAGAACAATCCATCGAATTAAGACAGGGTTTTTAACAACAATATGAATCAATGAAGGGGAACACATACTTGCCCTCTAATGTGTAAAGAGTCAGTTTCAGGATGATATACGTTTACAAACAAGCAAAGATTTGAGTCTTGAAACTGTATTGCGGAAGTTACTATTCCTTTAGGGATTAGGCTTGTTATGGGGAGTAGGCTCTTAAGCTC